ACCTTGGAATAAAAGTCATCCGTTAGCAACTCTAAAATTGCAAGAAATCTGCTCAAAATCAGGTCAAAATAAGTCACTTCTAAGAATCAGAAGGACCAGCTGGAGAAATTAAGAGCATTTATACTGTTTGGACAAACATGATGGAAGAGAAGCACAGCACGGACAAGAGCAATCCATTGGTAACTGAAGAACTTAAATGCAGGAAGAGGAGTCACTTGGGATGGTTTAGAGGAGATTAAAACAAGAACAAGTTAAATCAAAATGATGAAGTTATACTTCCTGGGCAAAAATCAAGACTTACATCTGCAAGTCATTAATTCACAAGCCTCAACACACAAAGCAACCCACTCTCACAAGGTTCCTCTCTGTGGAAAGACACAGAGTGGGCACAGTCAATCTGGTGCAGCACACAAGACCTTCATTATAAAAACCTCTAATAATTGCTCTAATTATCTCTCTCTTGTATGTGCAGAGATCAGGTTACAAAACAAAATCCATTCACATTTGGTTTATGCACTGAGCTTTGCTGTTACAAAGTGGCACAAGTACCATGCAAGCTGGCTCCATAAAATAAGTAATAAAATGTTACTTTTCTAGAACATTCAAAGGAGAAATCCAGGAACAAGTACAAGTACGGGAACAACTATCACTGAAAAAATCCTGTCCCGTACACCCAGCTTCACAGAGCACTGCATGTTTGCTGTGGGCATCAATGGAAGAGCAAAGCAAGTGCTGTGCTGTTTCCTGTCCCAGGACGCTGACGGCGCAGGGTGGCACAGCTCTGCAGAGAGGCAGGACTGGATGCCTCCACACAGCACTTGTAATTCACTCACTTTATCAACAGATGACGCCTGCACTGCCCTGCTGGGTCTCAGCACCTCATTTTTATGTCCTCAGATCATAGGAAAGTACCGCTATTCCCATGTTACTACAGCTTAGGAAAATGGTCTGTATATGGAGCAAGAAGCTAAGACACATAACAAGCCACTAGCTGCATCAAAGTTATTTTCAGAACCCCAGTCAGCTACCACCTAAACCTGCACAACACCCCAGTTTCTCTTGTCTTTCCCAGCACATATTCCACACTTAAGAAAACATCCTGAAGCGTTGATAACCTCAGGAAGAACATCAAGTTCAAATGCATGAGAAAACAATAAACAACAGAGGATGAAGCATCAGCAGACTCTTAAGTCTTTACTCATCCTGCTAATCCTAACAAAAATCCTAACCACTTGACTGAGACATCATGCTTCCTCTCACTCTGTTTCTTAGGCACACTGAGTTTTGATTTTTCCTGGCATGGCAAAAAGTTTCAAGAGAAGGAAGTGACACTACTCTCAACTGGCCTGTGGTTTGATGATGAGAATACTCCCCAGGGAAGTAGGAAACTTGGGCTGGAATCCCCCTTCTGCCCCTGGGACTCGGACATGATGTCACATCACTCAGCACTGCAACATCAAAGCCCCTTGTTGGTTGGGCCCTAACTGAAAGGCCGAAGTACACACATCTACAGGAATGTCAGAAAGCCAAAGCCCAGCCTCCAGGTCTCCTGGTTTTACACTGGCACCTGCAGTGGACCATCTTCTCTTTCTTGATTGATGTCAAGGCTTGCAGAAACAAAGTGGCAGCCAAGAAGGCACTTATTTTACACTAGCACTGCAACACAACAACATTTGCAAGACAGATGAAATCCAAATTACTTGTTTTCCTAGACACCTAAGAAAGCTGTAAAGACTCATGGCATTTTGAGCTTGTCTTCCATGTGCATATCTTACTTTATCTACAAAAATATGTTTTTCTCATTAATGTAGAAACCAAAACCTGAGACAAAAGTCCAGTATTATTCCAAATATTAAATTTTTCTAATTATGAGCTACCTACAGTCATCACTAAAACATGTAAAATGGAAGATTCATAACTTCTTTCACAAATATTTTTGAGACGCGTTTACTGTATGCAAGAAAAGATTCACTTCAGAGCATTTAAATTACTACAGAATTAGTAGCAACTTCTATCATGGCAGATAATCTACAGAACGTTTCCTCTATGCATCAAAGAAAATTATTTTACAAATCAACATTTTATGAAACTTATATATATATATATAAAACTTATTTTATAAATTATTTATATAAAATAATACCAGAACTCGGAAATATTCCAACTTAAGGCATTCCTGTTATACCTACTGAGATTCTATAGCCTGCAACTGGCAAAATTCAAATCTTGATGTCCAAGTACACAACACTCCAAATTTCAGTAGACGGAGTGAGCAGGGGATGGAATCCATCACACACACACAATACTGAACTTCTGCACACACAAACATGTTGAGACTTTGCTTCCCAAGCTGCCTGGACTAGATGAACAGCAGAACTTGAAATTCTACTGAAATCACATTTTATACATGCAGAGCAAAGCAGCGGGGAAGAACAACAGCACAGAAATCAAAGGCTTAGCATTTTTTGGGGGGTGGAGAGGATTAGTGACCTACAGTTGTTGTATATAATTTTAGAGACACTCGCCCTGTTAACCTAGTTACAAAGCCAACAGTCAGTAGCAATTTGAAGTCACAGTGGCAATGATATTTTTCCATCAGGGCTCCAGAAGAGAAGATGTACATGAAGAAAACAAACACCCCCTCAAAAACTATGTAAATATCTCTCCCTCTCTCAGACACATATGGAATTCTCAATAGCAAATCACTTTTTGCTTCATTTTCTCCTTAAGTTCTAAGATGTTTCCACTGGATACTTTTCTTACTTCCCTTAGATATCCTGAGAGCTTTTTTGCATTTATTTCCTTTTCTCTTCTTTCCTATTACAAAAAGAGAGAGAGAACACATCTTCCTACATTGTGGGCACCTAATGATAGCTCATTATAAGGTGACTCCCTTTTTCTCCCAATTCTCTAGTCCTTCCTCCTGCCGCAAGAAAAAAGACCGAAAAAAAATGAAATGTTTGTGATTTGTCAAAACTAAATATACTCACCTTAAACTATCCATTTATGAGGGCATGGGATTCCAGCAGGCAGAGCTGGGAAACCAGTTATATCCTCTCTGCCAGCCCCTTACTACTGTAGTTTCTACAGCACCACTTCATCATCACAGGTTAAAAAGTTTAAGACAAAACCTAGTGCAAGTACATCGCTCCCTCTTGTGCTACAATCACACCTTTATTCTGCTGCACAAAACCACACAACTCTCCTTCCCCTTGGCTTCTTTTCCCCATATTTCATCTTGAAATCTACAATTTCTCCCACCACTTCTGGTGTTCCTGAGCCAGACACCAAAAATTCAAGGAGGTTTCAGATAGAAGTATTCTATTCAGAAAGTATCCACAGCTTAAAGAAACAAACACACACAAACTCAAGCCTTAGCAATTCTTTAAAGGAACTGTGCATCAGATACCTGAAACCAATGTGTAATGAGCCATCTTCACACATCATAAGATGCAGCACCTTCAACTAAGAAACACTATCATAATAAAAAAAAACTCTAATAAAATCCAGTAACTACATAATCTAAGAGATAAGAGATCAGAATGTTGTGTTTTCACAATATCTATTCATACAAGGCCAGTTTAGGATTGGAGTAGATTTAAGTCATTCCTATTTTTAAATGGCCTTTTCATCTGAAGAAGAACTATGATCAGCTGCTTAACAATCAAAAATCAAGGTTTTTGGCTTTTTGTATTTTCAGCATTGCCATATCTACTATAGAACAGCTGGATTTCAGTACCAAAAAGCCGTTCCTCTTCTCTCCTTAAGTGTTCATTATGGACAAGAACAATGTAAAGACCTAAAATACAACATGATCCCCAGATCATTTAAAAGACAAACCGAATTTACATGGACTAGTAAGACTCCATAAATTATCTCTGGTCACTGATGCCGATGTATCAACAGTAAATACACTTACATGATACTCAAATTCTCTGAATCCATGCAAGAATGGCTTCTCAAAATTGGTATCATCAAACTTAATTACAGGAGGACTTCAGGAAAGCCTAAAGACTGAGTCATTTAGCACCCCCTTTTGATTAGAATTAATTTGTGTTGATACCAAATGCACTTTATGATTCTATATTCTAGGTCCAGCTATTATTAGAAGCAACTCACCAAGTCATATTTCAGTAAAACACCTACCATTCTTGTACTGGAACAACCCAAGTTTTATAACCCCCTAGTGCCGCCTGCTTGCAATGCCCAAGCTCATGATACATCAATGTTTCCGTTACCAAGCTCTATGACAAGGGGCTTCCCAGGGCAGCCATAAAAAACTGATTCCGTCCAAATGTTCACGTATTTCTCACCTTAAATGAATAGCCCTCTCCCTAATCACCACAAACAGCATTTAGATCTCAATCCACATGTGGTATGAGGCAACGGCTGGTTAAAAAGGACAACATGCAGTAACAACCACCAGTGCAGCCTTTTAATCCAGACTTCTAGGCAAGCCAATAGCCATTTTAAATGCATTTTAAAACTAACTACTTCAAATTATACTGTTTCATTTGTCTAAGCTAGACACTGCTAGTACGCCTTTGCATCATGCACTAAACTCCTTTCCAGTCTATGAATGCAAGTCCAGATTAGTGCTCAGTAATGCTATGTACATCCTATGGGACAAATCTGCAAGGAAAAACACACCATTCTACTCAAGAAATAGAAAACACGTAAATTACAATATAAAGCATATAAGGCTCGGATCTCGACAAGCTAGAGAAGTCGCAGACCCAGAGACAGCATATTTCAAATTGTATCACCGGAACTTCCCACATTTTACTACTACAGAAACAGCAAAAGATGAAAGATGCTCTAATGCGTGGTGAAGATCCACGCAGAGGAGCACATACAGTCTGTCACGTCACACACAGGCTCTGACCGGCAGAACATGAGATTATGCCTCTTAACGTTAACACAATTTCTCCTGATTTTCTGCAGGAAATTCAGATCTCAGGCACTCAAAAGACAGAAATAAATCAAGGTAAATGCCTTACCTTCCTATTTCACAAGCCACTGCAGTTCTCAGATTATGAGTCAGTCATAGGTTAATCTGCAGAGGAATGACTCAGTATAAACTTTTAAACATTCATGATTTTTTTCCTAATCTACAACACGGCGATTCATTCAACGCGCTAAAACGCGGCGTCGCGAATCAGCGCACGAAATGAATGGCGTGAAAACAAAACACTTTTCTTTCCGCTCACGGCAGGCAGACGGGGATAGCGCAGCGCCGGTGCAGGCAGGCGGACTTTGCGAAAACACAACTCCTTGCGCGCCGATGAGGGGCAGCTCCGGCGGGTCCGGGCGCAGCCCCATGGCCGGGGAGCGGCGGGGGCTCCGCCGCAGCGGCAGCCGGGGGGACGCGCAGCCGGGACCGCGCTCCGCGCCAGGCGCGGCGCTGCCGGCAATGCCCCTTTAAAGGCCGTCGGCCCGCCCCCAGCACTGCATATGGAGGGAGCCAGGAGCGAGCGAGCCTTCTGCATTCAAACGACACATCAAACGCCGCAAGCGCCGCCGCGGCTCCCGGCTCCGCTCCTGGCCTCGCCTCCCTCCGCTCCCCGCACAGGCACACGCACCGCGGGGAGCGGGGCAGAGAGCGAGAGGAGCAGGGGAGGGAAGGGGGAGGCAGGAATAAGTAAGCGAAAAGGGGCACCTGCAAAGCCCTGGAGTGCGAGTGCGTCCGGGCAGGAGAGTCCGCGCCGCTCCGCCGCAGGCTGATCTATCCCCAGGCACCGGCCGCCGCCGAGGTCCCGGCACGGGCTGCGGGTGCAGCGCGCTCGGCCCCTGCCTGGCAGCAGATGCCTCGGTCAGCGCTCAGTGCCCCCGCCGGAGCGCCCCCGGCTCCCGCCGCCCGCCCGGCCCCGGCCCCGTGCCCGGAGCGCCCGAGCGCGGGCAGGCGAGCGCGGCCGGTGCCGGAGCCCCGCGCGGGAGCCGCCGCCACGGCGGCAGCGAAGCTCCCGCCCTCCCTCCTCCTCCTTCTCCGCCGCCGAGCCGAGCCGAGCCCCGCGGCCGCCCTACCTGCGAGCGTGTGCGGGGAGCGGGGCGGCGGGCGGCAGCTGGAGCCGGGCGAAGGCGACCGCCAGCCCGGCGGAAAGTCCCGACCGCTGTGCGCCGTCTCCCCCCGCCCCGCACTTCCTCTCCCGCCCGCTCGGGCTGGAAATCCCCGGCGAAGCCCGCTGCTCTCCCGGCTCCTCCCAATCACCGAGGGCGGGCCCGGCACAGCCGCTCAGCGCGCAGGCGGCAGCCGGGGGCCGGGCTTGCCCTGGCCGCTGGCCCCGGCTGCACCTGATGCTGCTGTCACCCCCCTCCCGCGGGCACGACTCGGGCAAAGGGGCCCCGCGCCCGGGGGAGGAGGCGCGGGCTGGGCTGCGGGGGCGGCGCGTCCCGCTCCGGGCCGGCGTGGTGCCGGCGGAGCCGTGGGGGCTCGGCCGGAGGGCGGGCGCTGCTGCTGGGCGCTGGGGGGAAGGAAGGGCGCGGGGGATGGCGCCGGGACGCGGGGCTCCGGGAGAGCGGGAGAGCTGCTCGCTTTCCCTGCCTATCCCGGGGGAGGTGCAGCAGCCCCGCTCAAAGAGGCGCCTCGAACACAATAGCGTTCATTAAACAAAGAAAATACCACTGGGAAGAACGGGAGGGAGCGAAAACAGCAGTCGGGAGCGGGAGAAGGGTCTGGAAGAGATCAGGAAAGAGCAGCGAGCCAGGGCCGCTCGCCCCCGGGACAGACCGGTCGGGGCGCCCCGGCAGCCGCCGGCCGTAGGTGCCAGCCCCGAGTCCCGGCGACGGGCAGGGGGTGGGGGGGTGACCCCTGCCCGGCGCCCCGGAGGTGCGAGAAGCACCCGCGTCTCCTCCCCAGGCCACCGAGGAAAGGAGGCGGCGCTGGCAGCCCACAGAACCTGTCGCTCCCGGCAGCCAGGTGAAATAAATGCCTGCGTCGTGCTCCGCTAGCTCCGCAGCGTGTCCCGACCCGGGGCATGTGTTCCGCCTGTACCGGCGGTCACGCTTTTACACGGTGCATCGTTGGCTGTCGTGGCTTGTCGTGTCCCCGCCACCTCACCGGGCTGCGGGCAGGGAGGGAGGGAGGGGGAGAGGCGGTTCTGGCGCAGAAGCGGCGCTGGGGCTCAGCCGGAGCCGGGAATGCCCAGCCGGAGCTGGGGATGGGGGCTTAGCCGGACCTTTGGTCCATGGTGGGCTGGAGGATTTGCCCCACAGGGGCCTTCGGAGCCCTGGTTGCAGCGATGGGGCTGGCAGCCGGGAGAGCCGCAGCTCTAAGGAATGTGCAGAGCTGAACACGGAGAAATGTGTGGTGTTTGGCTAATTTCAGTGGGATGAGGTCACCGTCCTTTTTGGACGTTGTTTATCGAGGGATCACTAGGGAGGAACAGTTGGATGCGTGATCCTGAACGGACAAGCTTTGCGTCATAGTTGCCGCTTGCAGCATCTCCACGCGTCCCGAAATCCATCCTGACCCTCCTCGGTCTTCATATCCCCCGGCTCTCCGTACCGCCCACGCCACGCTGCCCTGCAAACCTCAACATCTCTAGCTCCGGCACTGTCCTCACCAGCTAAATCACGAAGCCTGGCCGCACTGCTAATTCCCTCCTGTGTGCTGTTTTTCTCCTCATCCCGCTTCTCTGCTTTCTCTCTTTCCCCTTCTCTCCCGCCTTTGCTGCTGTCCCCAGTCAAAGCCTGGCTTAGCTGTCAAGACAACTGCGGCTTTTGAAACGATGCCGTGAACCTGCCATCAGAAAGACAGTCTCAGACGGATGTCTTACATGTTCTCATCACTTGTTCAAGACTGCTTGACTCTGGACCAGCAGAAAGGCTTGTGCACCAAGCCTGGATTTCTCCAGCAGCAGACCTGCAAATAAGTTTCTATCAGAGACAAACCTGCAATTTCCTCCTTTGCCACTCTTTTTGCTCTTGTATATGTGTCCTCTTGTTTTGCCCTAAAAAAAAAAAAAAAAGAAAAAAATGGAGAAAATATAATAGGATTCTAGTGCCTGTAGCTCTAGCAGCTATGCTGATGTATTCTTCCCCAAAGAGAGAAAACAAATTCTTATACCATTTAAAGATGTCAGAAGCCTTTCCACATTAAAAAAATGTCTGTTGACGAAGGGATAAAGTGATGATTTGATGAAATACCTAGCATTTCAATTGCTTTGGTGTTTTTTTTTTCTTTTTCCATACTATGATTCCAAAATTTTAGAGATTTCTAATACAATTATTACACTAAGATATGTCACCAATGTTTAGTCTTTAATTGGTTTGGAATTCTGTGTTATAAGCAATGTTTTCTCTGGGGCTTAAAGTGTTGCCTCAAGGCTGCTGTGATATGCTGAACACTTCTGCTTGGCAGTATTATTTAGAATATAGTCGTTGAAGGAGTAGCTACTTAAAACAGCAGAAATTATAGTAAAGACCATGGAGTAGTTCTGTATTTTAGTAAATTGTTTGGAGAAGTAAAATAATAGTGCATTACATTGGAAAATCACCTGAGAGGAAAGAATTTTTAAAAATCCACTGAGAGAAGAGTGATGATAATCCCTTACAAACTTGGACAGGGATACTTATCTCCAAAAACTCTTTGGAAGACATAGAAGAGCAAATGGCATGTGATTATGGGAAACTAATTTCTCAGCTACAGACTGGAAGGTACCACTGGGAACTGCTAGGGCTTAAATGTTCTGGAGTGTTGTAGAAACTCGATTTCTCAAGCAAACAGTCCATGAGAGAGGATGCTATTTTAGGACTGGTATTAATAAGCAGCAAGGACCTTGTAGAAGGCCAGAGTGTTGAAACTGATCATGAACTGAGTGATCACAAACTAATCCAGCTGAAGTTAAACTGCAAGAGGGACAAATGCAGATATTTGACTAAGACTTGGGATTGCAGAACAGCAAACTTAGAGGAATGGGGAAAATTCCTGAGGCTGACATGATGGATGAACCCAGTGATGATTTTTACTTAGAGATAGTGGAAGAAGCAGCAAATAACAATTGCCAAAGCAAGGATTTGTCCAAGGTTAAAAGGCTGGAAGCAATACCAAGTGCCTAAAACAGTATAGTAAAAGAAGAGGGGTGGTGATGCTGTAGCCTTGGGTCTACTGCTCTGACCTTACTATGGGGGTGAGTTCCTCCATGAGAAAATGACTGTGAGCTGCCAGCAGAATGGCTATGGAAAAGACTCACTTGAGTCTATGATGCACAAAGCATGGTATTTTTAGTGGAGAAAGGGAAGTATTGATATGGCTTTACACAGTACAGCTGAGGAACCTTGTTTGGAAAATTGCATCCAGTTCTGGTGACTTACGGTCAGAAAAGATTGACTCAGGTTGCCACAGGTGCAGAAGAGGAATACTGAGGTGCAAGGAGCAGGGTATCTTTATTCTCAATGGGAGCTGCAAGCAAGCTGACTTAGCTTCCTCAACCAGCCAAATTAAGCCAAAATAGTGTGATTCAGGCAGTAAATATCAAGGAAAGTGTATAATTTAAATTAAAGGATTATGTTAAAAGGGTGATGCATGGTCATAAATTGGTCGTGAGTATACTTAGATTGAAAAGCTTTCTAACCATTCCAAGAGCAAACAAACAGTACTCCAGGAACAAACACCTACATGGTTTTAAATCAGGGCATGATGCTTTGTTGTGTCCAAAGGGGATCTGAAGACAGCTGAGCTGCTGACCTTTGACATTGTACTGTAATCATTCCCAAGTTTCAGGCCTAATTCTGGTCCTCTGCCCCATCTACATTTGGCTTGTGAGGTTTTTTTCAACTGCCTCTGAGGCACTGGAAATTAGTCAGAGACAGGATGTAGAAAGGGCTGGTGACATTAAGTCATCAGCTGGTTTGTGGTGGATCTTGCTCACAGGCATACTGTGATTGCCAGATTTGTGCCACCACAAAACCTTTTCCCTCAGGTGAGCCTGGCAAAGAGCTGTCTTGTGTTCCCCTTGCCACCTTCTCAGAACCTTCTGGGAGATCTGTTTGGTAAATATCTTGTTGCATGGGTACTGGTTATAGTCTTCTCTGATATTGTGCTTGAGAGGTTTAGTCTTTTTTTTTTACTGCAGCTCTAATTTTATTACCTCTTATCAAAAGGGGTTTGGTGACTCTTGATGAGTGGGGATGCAGAAAAGTTATTGCTCTGAGATCTCCTAAACAAAATGGCCATTATGTGTTTGTAGAGGGGGGATCATTCCCAGTCCTGTCTTCCCAGAGGTGGCATCAACAGGTTATTTTTAATTCTGGAAGTAAACTTGAGAGAGGGAGAGAGAAAGAGGGCAGCAAACCATTGTTTCTTGCGTGAATTTGCTTATTGCAATTAACAGTCATTCAGCTGAACATTTGTAATTTGGAATGGTACAGTACATCCTTATTAACCCTGCTGTTTCAGGTGCAATTTGGCACTACTTGTGGATGGAATGCTAACTCTTAAGTGTCATTGTTTGTGTGCTTCATGTGGCTTCTCACAAGTTTCTACAGAAGGTGGTTGTGGTTTTTTTTTTCCTAATCAATACCTATTATGGATCTGAGCAACACTTAACAGAAGCCAGTTTCTACATTTCTGGCACTGAGGCAGTTTCTTGACTTGCAGCTTCCTCGTCCTGTGCTCTGGATTGAAGATGCTTATTAACAGAATAATAAAAACATTCAATTTATATTCTTTTTTATTGCTGAAGCAATGCCCAAGAGGGCCTGTATTGTGGGAATACACATTCATTTATTGTATCCTATACATGAGATAGGGGTTCCTCAGGGTTTATTTCAACTGCTACTAGGCAATAATGTCTAATGTGATGGCCCATTTGTTTAGGGAAAAGAATTCCCCTGCCCAAGATATGATTTTCTACTTTAATTGCCTAAAAAGTGATGGTTTTCCAAATGACAATCATTTAAGGTGAAACATTTCCCAACTTCTTCCAGAAGTAAGTTATATATGCCTTTCTGCACTTGCTGTGTAACATTTTTCTTTTCTTTTCTTTCAAGTTAATTTTTATTCCCAAGTCAACTTACAGAGCTACTTCATACTTGACAAGAAATACTAGTAAGGCATAACACAACTGCATCTGTGTAATCTTAGGGCCTTCTTACTCCCTTTTGAGACTATTAAAAATACGTTGAGGTTCCTGGGCTCCCCTATTACCAAGACTGCCATTGTGCCCATGCCAAATTGACTTTGGAGTCAAATGAAATTTTG